GAGCAGTGGTGGAGGGGAGGCGGGGGGCACTGTAGGGGGAGGCAGGCCAGGCTGGGGCAGCGGGTAGCAGTGGGGGCGTGCATGTACCTCTCACCCAGACTCTGCTTTCGCGGTGCACAGGTCATTGGAGCTGGAGCTCAGGATGTCCCATGGGAGCCCATCTTTCACGGGGGGACATGCCCACTGCCACAGAGCCAGCTGGTGGCAGGAGGGCCTAGACCCAGGCCAGCTGGCTCCAAGACGCTGCACACCCTACCCTTCCTCCTGCAGGGCAAGAGCTGGCAGAGCAGGGCTTCAGGTTCCAGCCCCTCCCCGCCTCTGCCCTCCCACAGCCTGTGAGCTGCCTCAGCCCAGCCCAGCCGTGGGGTGGACGGAGGTGGGGAGAAGACACCCACCACGTTGCAGAGTGGAGCCGGCTGAGCCCGAGCACCTGTGAGATGGCAGGGCCGCAGCAGGTGACGCCACCTCCCTGCCACCCAAGTTCCCGAACTGACCACCTGGAGACGTGCTCCCAGTGCTCCCCTTTGTCTTAGCACGAGGGCGCCCAGCGAGGTCTAGTACGCCAGGGTCGCTGGTCTCTGGGGTCCAGGAGGGTTGTAAAGAGCGATCAGATTTTAGACATCCTAGTACCAGTTCTGTGTGGGAACACCAAGTCAGAGACTAACCCAAGTGAATTTTATTTATGATTAATATTAAATTTTCTATAGGGCATGTGCGCTCACTAGAGACAGAACAAGCAAAAAGCCAGCCACCAGGTTTGGGACGTGAACCGCCGTTAGCCATGTAGGAGTCCAGCACCTTAACTACCATGCCACCTGTTGGCTACTCCCAAGTCAATATTTTTTTAAAGAGAGATTTTTGCTCTAGGGCGTGTGTGCTTGTCAGAGAGACAGAAAGTGAGGAATTACCTGGGTTGGGGGATGACCTCTCTGCAATCCCTTCCCCTCTATTTTCCTCTCGGGATGTTGGGCATGCATGCACACATGCCCAGCATGTTTTTTTTTTTTTTTTTTTTTTTTTTTTGGAGAGAGATTTTCACTGTAGGTCGTGTGCGCTCGCCAGACAGACAGAGAGAGACATAGAGACAGAAAGCGAGAAATCACCCCCCAGGGGGGATGGTCACGCCGCAATCCCTTCTCCATTCTCCTCTCGGGATCTTGGGCACGCATGCACACGCGCCCGGCGTGAGTTTTAAGCCACCGGGTCCAGGAAGTGAACCACGGTGGACTACGTGGGAGTCCAGTGACATAGCCATTACGCTAACTGCTGGTTCCCATGCCCAGCATGTTTTAAGCTGCAGGGTCCAGGACTTGAACCATGGTTGACTATGTGAGAGTCTAGTGATGTGGCTATTATGCCATCTGCTGGTCCCATAGTTAATTAAAAAAACTTTTTTTTCTTTTTGCTTTGGGCTGGAAGGAATTATACTGACCCATGCGATAAGGTTTATCTCAATGTGGTTTTTAGTAATATGTTATTAATATATAATTTTGTTAATGATAAAACCAATCGATTATTAGTTTAATAAACATACTTCCGAGGAGAAAAATGTTCAAAAGAGATGAACAACAATTACAAGGTTTTTAGTCTAGGAAGGTCTTTGGTTACGATAGAGGTAAGCCACTGAGCTAGATCATTGTTAAGAAATGGTTTACCCTACGGGACCAGCAGTTAGCATAATGGCTGTGTAGCTGGGCTCCCACGTGGTCGACCACGGGTCAAATCCCAGACCCGGTGGCTTAATCTCTTGCCAGGCGCGTGTGCGTGCATGCCCAAGATCCCGAGAGGAGAATGGAGAAGGGATTGCAACGTGGCCATCCCCCCTGGGGGGTGATTTCTCGCTTTCTGTCTCTCTGTCTCTCTCTGTCTGTCTGGCAAGCACACATGCCCTATAGCAAAAACCTCTCTAAAAAGAGAGAGAGAGAGAGAGAGAGAGAGAGAGAAATGGTTTATCCCAAAAGAGAACTAGTGTTTTATTGCCAGAGGGGACCTGCACTCACCAGAAAGAGGGGGCCAGGAGAAGGAGCAAGCACCTCCCAGTGGGGCAGAGTCACGTGCAATCCCTTCTCACCCTGTCAGGATCCTGGCGCACACGCGCACATGCCTGTGTTTTTGAGGTGCCAGGGACAGGATCCAAGCCGTGGTGGGCCATGTGGGGCCCATGCACAGGTCTTAGCCGTGGCCCTGCAGGTTCATGGAATCCCGATCATTGTGTCTGGAAAGAACTCTGCAGAGATGGTAAGGCATAGTTGAGGGCAGAGGGAGGGACGTTTTAAGCCAACCACAAGCTTCAAGTCACCCTTCTGCAAAGAGCCCTGTGGATGCCATCGGGCTACTCCAGGGACTGCTCAGGGCTGTCACCAGGTCACGGCCGAAGCAAGGGTTCTGATACATTCATCCGAAGGGAGGGCGTTTGCGGCAGTGTGGGCAAGCCAGGGAGAAGGCCAAGGATGGAGGATGTCCCTGGGCTGGATTCGGAACCAAAGGTCCAGGCCTGGCGCTGCCCCTTCAGGGAGTGCCCCATCTGAAGGAGGCCCAGCTGCTGGCCTCCAGTCACCGTCTTCTGTGGGGAGAAGTCCACATTCCGAGGACAGAGCCGAGCCACCTCCCTGACTCGAGGGGAGGGCCTGCACAGCTGCTGGGAAGGGGCCCTGAGTGCAAGCCAGGAGCCCACAGCCAGCCTTCCAGTGCCTCTGGGACAGCCCTCCTGCCGTGCCCTCCTGCACTCTGCCGCCCAGCCTAGCCGTCCTGGCGCTCCGAGCACCCCAGCTGGAGTGGGCGTGGTGGTACTGCACCGTGCCTGCCAGGTCCTCGTATTACTCACGTTGGGACCCCAGGGGCTCAGAGACCCCGATCCTTCTCCTTGCTCCGCAGTGGCTTTTCAGAGTACAGGCTCGTGCAGGTTACTGAGAGCTTTAGGGGTGATTGGGGCTAGGTGCATGGCAAAGTCTCTCAGTTTATTTTTAATTTTAAAAAGATTTTTGCCATAGGGTGCATGCACACATGAGAGAGAGAAGGGACAGTGAGAAATCACCCCGGGGGGGTGGCCACATCGCAGTCCTTTCCCCTCCATGCTCTTGGCATTTTGGACGTGCTCACACGTACGCCGGGCATGTTTTCTGGTGGCAGAGCCTAGGACTCGAACCTGCGTCAACCTGGAGGAGCCAGTGCCTTAACCACCATATCACCTGCTGGCCCCATCAAAGACCTTTAAAAAATGTGCATACCTGGGCCAGCATGAAGCCTTGTGGTTAAGGGGGTCCATGCGGCAGATGGTGGCTGAAATCCCAGCCTCTCAGCTTGAAAACCACACTGGGGTTGTGTGCCTACACTCCCGGTGGAGAGACGGAGGAGCGGGGACTGTGCGCGACCACGTCCCTCAGGAGGTGCCCTGGCCCCCTCTGGTGACTGAAAAATTGCACATACCCCAAAGGGGGACACCCCAGATGCCCCCCAACTGATGACCGGGAGACATAGTTTGGTTTTCCCGGGAAGACGGAATTCAAGTACAAGTTTGTTTTGGTGCAAGAAATTTGAAATCCGTGCATAGTGTTTCCTTGATATGCATTTCCCATGCTCCGTATGACTCCCTTGTATGCTTACACATGCTTGGAGTGGTTTATGTCATGGATATTTTACCACACACATAAAACAAGAAAATACGTGCACACTTTTCGACTCAGCAGTTTGGCAATTTGTACCAAGGAACAAATCAGACAAGGACACAGGATGTGGGGCGTTTCTAGTGAGACACCCGAGAAGCCCGGTGAGAGAGGGCGAATGCGATGCACCAGCGTAGGTCCAGACAGTAGAACACCATGCAGCCGCTAACGGGATGGGGCTGGTTCATACCTGTTAGTAAGAAGAGGCCCATGATAGAAATTCGTAAAATGTCATCAAATAAGACAGTAGGTTCTCATTTTTTTTTTCCCCAAAAAAGACATGTACTTACAAAAAGCCTGGAAGGATAAGAGAGGCTCTTTCCTTCTTTCCCCTTTGTGATTTCTACTTTTCTACAGAATAATACGGATTTCTTTAAGGCGTTAGTGTAACGGTTCGGAGCACAGCCTGAGACAGGCCACCTGGGACGCGGCTCAGTTTCCTCATTCACGGATCAGTTTTTGCCTCTCTTAACGGGCTTCGGTTTTCTCACCTGTAAAGATGGGGCTACCCAAGGTGCCTACCCCGTAGGAGGCCGTCGGTGAGGCTGCTGGTGTTGCCGAGGTGCTGTTAGGAGGGCTCTGCCACACAGCAAGCGCGAGGACGCCTTAGTGACCCCAGCTGAGGTCGGCACGGAGCTTGGGGCTGTCTTCAGATTCCATTTTTGTATACCGTGCTAGGTGTCTCCTCCACCTCCTCTCTCTTCTTCTTTTAAGGTTTTTGCCATGAGGCACTTGCACTCACTAGAGAGAGAGAAGGAGAAATCACCTCCCAGGGAGGATGGCCACACCGCAACCCTTCTCCTCCATTCTTCTCCTGGGATTGTTTTTTTTTTGTTTGTTTTTTGAGAGGTTTTCGCTATAGGGCGCGTGCGCTCGCCAGACAGACAGAGAGAGACATAGAGACAGAAAGTGAGAAATCACCCCCCAGGGGGGATGGTCATGCCGCAATCCCTTCTCCTCCATTCTCCTCTCAGGATCCTGGGCACGCATGTACACGTGCCCAGTGTGAGTTTCAAGCTACCGGGTCCGGGCTGCAAACCATGGTCGACTACATGAGAGCCCAGCGACATAGCCATTATGCTAAATGCTGGTTCCCCTTCTCCTGGAATTTTGGGCTCGCACGCACACATACCCAGTGTGAGTTTTGAGCCACCAAGTCTGGAGCTTGAACCACGGTCAGCCATGTGAGAGTCCAGTGCCTTAACCACTATGCCACCTGCTAGCCCCAGCCGGGTGTCTTTTAGGCCTGGTGTCCCTTTGGCACCTGTCCGTGCCTAACCACACGATGACTGCCTTGCTGGGATCTCGGTTTATATCAGAGCCTGGGGAAGGGGAAAAGCCTCTGAAAATTATTAGTGAGAAAATAGTATTTCCAGGGTGTTGTTTGTTTTTCTCTAAAATGTACCAAACTTGATCATTTAATACGAATATAAAATTAGACAGAACACATGTCTTTGCTCCAAAAATAATGCACGGACTAGATCTATAAAGCACACCGAGAAAATAAATGGTGCGTCTGTTAGGGTTCCCGCCTGGGCCCTCACGCACCCCCTTTTGGGTGATTCCCATCCCACGCAGGGTTCAGGTCGGAAAGTTCCCATCTGTACCTGCTGGGCATCCTGGCAGCGTGCAGGTGGGAGCTGGGCCCTTGAGGAAGGAGCTTCAGGTGGGGTGCTGGAGGACGGCTCTGGGCACCAGGCTGTGGATCAGCCCCGCCTCGCCCCTCTGCAGGAGCCTTCTTCATCCCTTACTTCATCTTCTTCTTCACCTGCGGCATCCCGGTGTTCTTCCTGGAGGTGGCCTTGGGCCAGTACACCAGCCAAGGCAGCGTCACAGCCTGGAGGAAGATCTGCCCCCTCTTCCAGGGTGAGTGTTCGTCGCCTTCCTGCCCCGCGGCCACCGCCCACCGTCCCTCTGTCGTCCCTGTCTTTACTGACCACTCACTGCCTGTTCACTCATTCAGTTCCTTCCTGTGCTAAGTGCGGGATCGGACCTCATGGGGCCAGGCTTACAGAACTCGGGGAGGAGGGTGTGGTAGTTAAGGCACCTCGGGCCCTCCCTGGCCAAGTGCGCGGTTCTAGTCCTGGACCCAGTGACTTGAAGAGCACTCCAGGCGTGTGTGCATGTGAGCCTGGGATCTCAAGAGCGAAACGGAGGAGATGGTTTTGCAGCACGGCCTTTCCTGCAGAGCTGTGCTTTTCCTCTGTCTCTGTCTCTCTCTCTTTGTCTCTCTCTCTGTCTGTCTCCGGCAAGTGTATGCACTCCATAGCAAATTTTAAAAAGAAAGGAAAACAATATAAACTTAAACATGTAAAATGAGGTGCAGAGTCTTGGACAGGGTCCCTGAAGTGGACCTTGTAGGTGAGGAACCCCGAAGCTTATTCTTCATCAGCTTCGTGGGAACTGTGTCTGAGGCCGTGGGGTGGTCATACGGGCCTCCAAGCCCTAACTAGACAGCGGTGGCGACATCGAGCGTCTCTGGAGCCCTCCGACATGTCAGGGCTGGTGTGAGCACCGTGGACGTATTCTCTCACTCCATCCTCCGGTGCCCTCTGAACCTCACTTCCTAGATGAGGGAGATGAAGTCACTCAGGATTTGAACCAGGTCTGCGAGAGCTGAAAGAGCATGCTCCCTCCCTCTGGGCTAAGTTAGGGGCAGCTCCTGCTCCTCCCTCTATGGACCTGTGGGCACTAATGTGTGCAGCATGGGGTGTCCTTGCCCACGGCCTTCTCGGTCCACTGAGAGCTTCCTTGGCCCTGTGGAGTGGAGGGAGGACGCTTCCCTCGCTTCCCTCGGGCCAGTCCCCAGGACCCCGGGGCTCCCCCGGCAGAGGGCAGAGGCTGAGCTGAGAGAGCCCATAGGATGGCGCGGCTGTGGGGAAGCACCTGCTCCTGGCAGGCTGGAACTTGACTCAGCGGATGCCTCTTGTGGCATCCTTGGGTCCCAGGAGGGACAGCAAGCAGCGAAGGTGGCCCCCAGGTTCTGCCCACAGCTCCGGGTATGCCAGGAGTGCTGCGGCTCAGCTGGATCACGTGGTTCTGCTGGGGGGGTAGTGGTGTCAGCGCCCCTCCCCTGCTGGCATCCATCCCTAAGTCCGGGCAAGCTCCGGGCAGCACCACCGCAGCTGGCTTTCGGGGACACAGTGCCTGACGATCTTACCGTTGGCCACGGACAGGGCGTGCCAACAGCGCATTTGACGAGGTCGGGGAGATGGCTCCTCCTTTCCTATTTATTTATTAGATTGATCTCCGTTTCTTCTGAGAGAGGCTAAGAGCACCCGACAGGGTCTTCCTGCCTGTCCCCCCAGTCTCGGCATGCGGGCACAGGGCGTGCTCCCCGACCCAGGGCCCTTCCCAGGCAGACCCAGGCGCATCAGCGCAGTGCGGCCCGCTCAGCCCCTTCTCGTCCAGTTTAGAGATGCTCCAGGCCAGGGCCCTCAGGGTGGGCCCCTCTGGAAGTGCACGCTGATGCTGGACGGCCGGGGATTGCCGGTCCCGAGCCCGCCCACTGCCACGGTCACCAGCCTGCCGCACAGGTGTGCAGGGAACACCCGGGCCCCCCAGACCCTCGCCTCAGGTACGCAGGCACTCAGCCTCGCCCTGCTCTGAGATGCCGCCCCTGCCCCCTCTGGCCTGCACCACCTGACGCTCCCTGGGCCCAGTCGCCTCTCCCCCGGGCCTCGGTGTTTCTGAGGCCAGCACCGCCCTGGCTGGCAGACAGCCCTGGGCGGCACGGCGTGTTCCGTGGGAGGCACAGTGGCTGCTTGTTTTTGTCTGTGTGGGCGTCTGTGTGTGGCTCTAAATACCCTGCTGACCTGCCTGCTCCCTGGGGACCCCTGCCACCAGCGGCCCCAGCA